AGTTTTACAGAAACAAATGTGAAATTGATGTAAAGAAAAACTTCCTAGTAATCAGAGCACTCCCAAAGTTAACTGAGCTGCGAATGCATGTGTTATACTCCCCTTGATTGAATGTCTTCAAGAAAAAATTGAATGACATCTATTTGGGGACATTAGAGACAGAATTTTTGTTCAGGTATGGGTGAGCATCTAGGGAGCTCAGTGGAGGCTCTAGAGTTAAGAAGACCTAAGTTCAAATCCGGCCTCAGACACCAACTAGCTGTGTGACTCTGGGCATGTCACTTAACCCTGTTTGCCTCAGAGGTTCCTCATCTGTAAAATGAGCTGGAGAAGGAAATGGCACACCACTCCAGTATCTTTACCAAATGGGGTTACAAAGAGTAACATGGCTGAAAAACAATTGAAATGAGCTGGACTGGTCTGTCTCTGAGATCCCTTCCAATTCTGTGATTCTGAGAGTAACCAACTAGTAAGAAGAGAATGATCCACAATATCAAATGTGAAGAGGTCAAGGAGCATAAGGACTATGTAGTAATGGTCTGAAGCTGGATTTGAACCAAAGTCTTCCTGTTTCCAGGCCCAGCATTCTCCACTGCACCACCTAGGGGACAGAAATATAAGGGATTGTTTCAGTCATGTCTGACTCTCCATGACCCCATTTGCCATTTCCTTCTCCAGCTCATTTTACAGAATAGGAAACTGAGGCAAATAGAGTTAACTGACTTGCCCAGGGTCACACAGCTAGCAAGTGTCTGGGACTAGATGTGAGCTCCTGACTCCAGGGCCAGTGCTCTATCCACTATGCCATCTCACTGCCCCACATTATTCTTATCCAGCTACTTCAAGGGATCCAGAATCTAATCAATATGGATGTTCCCTCCAGGGATACGGATTACAACTCACCCACACCTGCCCATCCTCGGTGACTCTTGACTATGCCTTCCCATAATTTTGCTACATAGAATTCACCCAATGTGCTGGACACCTTCCTTGCTTTTTCTTGACATCACAAAGTCAGCAGAGTATGTGGGCTGTCCATTGATTATCCTTTTCTCTTGCCACACGACCAACCCATCTTCTTTTCCAATCATACATTTCCTTGTTGACATCCTTATTCCAGTTCTTCTTCTAGGTTCCATATTTGCAATGTTTTGCAGCCTATTCACCCACCTGAGCCCTGCCATTGCTTACTGAACGATTATGATGACAATCATTTGTGCATAATCAATAATAATATTAGCTTACTTTAACATAGTGCTTTAAGGTTGGCAAAGAAAATGTTCTCAGGTTCCTGGGAACTCCTTGGGAATTAGGGTCCTGGACTGATACGCTTATCATTTCCATTTCCCTCACCTTCTTCATTCATTCATCACCTTCTGCTCTCTGGTTACTCATAACTCACATCTGTGTCACTATACCATGATGATTCACCAGGATGAACCTAGGCCATGGTCCCATTTTACTGACTCCCTTCTCCCTTCCCCCCATGGCCCTAACAAAGCGGAATTGTTGGGTTTGGCATCCATAGCTCCTTTCTTGGAACCCCCAGTTCAGTTTGTTGGTCTCATAAAGGAGTTTCTTTTGCAAACAATTGTTTTCCATCCATCTTGGCCTCTTATCCGGACCTGGATATTGACAAGGGAAATGTTGACTTTAAGAAGGTTAAAGGTGCCAGTCCCCAGCAGCATCTAACAAATGGGTTTCAGTGACAAGGAGGAATTGTTGTTTTTTTCTGGTTTCAGAAGAGCCAACTGTCAGGAAGATGTAGAGGGCAAACAACCCCCCCGAGGGGCAGCTGACAGACACAGGCAGCTGCTGAGGGTGTCAGGGGGCTGCAGGGCCAGTACATTCTCACCACCAAGAGCACTGCCCTCTACCCACCGACCTCTTCTCCATATGCCCCACCACTCACATCTCTTTCCATAGCCCTGCAGCCAAACTGCAAGGGGAAAGAGAAAGCAGAGAAGGGTGACATACCATTTATGAGTGACATACCATTCTGGACAACTTAAGGTAGTGGTTGGGTACTCTGGGCAAACCAGCCATTCGTGCCCAGGTCAAGGATCCAATCATAGCCATTCCTGGATCAATGAGCCTGATCTTGAAAGGCTTCCCTGTGTTGTACAGTGGCATTTCCTTTCACCTTCCCAAGGATGGCTTTCAGAGCTCACAATTTGATACGATTCCCTTGGACTTCCCCTTTCCCTCTTTCTTCCTTTAGAATGGACAGCAATCATGTGATTTATTATTACAGGCTAAGATTCAGAACCACAGAAGCAGTGTGATATAGTGGGTAGAGCATTGGACCTGGAATCAGTAGAGATGTTCACAGCTCTGATGACAGGTATGTTTGGGGTGGGAGACATTCAGCCCTTTAAGCCTATTCCAACCAGGACAAGCTATATTAGAAGAAGCCAACAAGGAGAAGGCAGATCAGAGAAGGACACCTTTATTTTCTCATGAAAGGGTCTAACTGTCCAGAGACTGTGAAAGGGCCCATGAAGCTAACAGACAGAGGGAGGCAGGTCTTTATACTCAGGTCCTCTATAGCCTAAAAGGCTTTAGGTATTCTGTTGCTTCCAGGGAATGGCTCTGAGCCTTCTCTAAGTGTGTTCAGTTACAACAGTAACAACAACAATGATGATAATAATAGAGGCAATAATGAATGACAGCTGGCCTAAGAATCAGGAAAGCCTGACACAGACTGGCCATGTGACCCTGGGCAAGGGACTTAATCTCTTAGTTGCAGGTGTTGATCTGCAGTTGGTAGAGGTATTTTCTCACTGGGAGTGCCCCAGACCAGTGAAACCACAAGTTCTATCCAACGATAATAATAGTTGACATTTATGTAGGGCTACAGGGTTTTTGAAGCAATTGACATAGGTTATTTCATTTGATTCTGGATCACAACAACCCTTTAAGATAGACTGGTAGCACAGATATTACCCCCATTTTATAGCTAAGGAAACTGAGGCTCAGAAAGATTAGGTGATGTGCCTAGGATCATATAACTAAGTAAATGGCAGAGATTTCGAATCAAAGCCTCACCCGAATTCACCACATATTTCTTTGCAGCTCTCTTTCATGAGGGGGGAATTCCATCCCCTTCTGCACTATTATATATGTCATTTTCACATCCTGGAATTCCCTTTCCATCTCTTCGATACCAACCCATGCCCCTCGTCTCCTTCCAAAGTCATTTCCTTCCAGGAAGCCTTTCACGAGGAGCTCTGCCTGCCTCTGGTCACATATTTACTCTGGGTCCCCTTAGTCCTAAAACACTCAGTTTATACCATATTAATATGATAAAGTGCTTTTTCATTTAGGTATGTCCCATTTACCTGAGGAAGTTGTTAGGTCCCAGAGAAAAAGAATGGTGTCTTTTTCTTACCTAAGCTTTACAAGTGTGAACCTTTGCAATACCATGCATCCCCCCACCCACCCACACACACATACATACTCATTGTCCAGTGCTGTTCAATGCCCTGTACACACTGGGTGCTCAATACATGTTAACTGAGTCACTGATTCAAGATTCCATATTGACTTTATACCCAAGTCCGCCAAAGGCTGCCAAATAAGAAGGCTTCCCCCAGTCTCTCCGTAGATTCTACTGTCAGGCCATCGTGCTAAGATCCCTTGAGCTCCCACCTTGGGGGATCCTTATGTCTCCATGATAGCAGCAGAGACAAAGTTAAAAGACTAGCCCCCAAACTTGGGTCTGTCGACATTGTCTGCACCCAGATCCTATTGCTTTGGTCCATGGAGACATTCCAGATGGCACCAGCCGCCCAGCTTCTCATTAATAGGAAAGGAGTTCTGTTCCCCATGTGTTCAAGAGTGTTATTTCTTCAAGAAATTACAATAACTTTTCAGGAGTGCTGCAGTGTGTGGAGGATTACATAAAATTATGTACTTGATTGAAATATCACTCAGGGAATGATATCTCTGCAGGAGATCTCAGATCTTGGTTACCAGCTAGTCCAAGAAATTCATCCCTAAGGTGAGTAGATGATAGGGTGGGAAAGCCCACAGTCATATTCTGGCTAGAAGACAGGAGCTCATATTAATATTATAGGCAATAGTCTGGGCACAATTTACAACTCCTTTGCCAAAGATAACTCCTTCGGAAAAGTCAGGTCTTCCCCCTCCCTTTTCCATCACAGATGGTAAAAAGCATTGACCATGAAAAAAGGCAAGGCTGGGGGGAGCCAAGAAGATAGGGAAGTTGGAGAAGGAAGGCAGTATGGAAGCAGAGGACACCTTCCATTAGGACATAGGAAATTTCTTAGAGTCCTGTTAATATGAGGAAGAACCTGCCTTAGTAAATCAGGGAGAATGCCAGGGTCTATTGACAGGAAGGAAGGTATTGATTCTTGTGCCAAGTTGCTAAGAAAGTGAGCGGATCTTCCACAAGGCAGAGAAGGATGGTACTCTTCTGGGGCTGTGACAACTCTGTTTTTATATGTAGGTTAAACCATGGTCCTCTATCAAGACTAGGGCAAAATCACTTAGAAATAAATTTTACTTTTGCAGTCTGTATGAGAATGGCCTTTAAATCAAATGCAGTCAGCAAGCTTGTCTGTTGCTTCTGATTCCTGGAATTTGGCATCCGATGGATTCTGGATCTGGTTTAAGACTTTTTCCAAATCCAAGACTTGGGGAATTTTGTTAACAGTGCAATAAAAATAACTTAATAGTGTTACAGGGAAACATGAAAGACTTTCTGTGTGTGTGCTGCTCTCTCCCCTTTAAAAAAAATACATACAATGTTTCTTTAAAAAGTCTCCATCTGCAAATCCCATTAGATGTGCATATAAGGTTTCTGATGATTAATAGCTGACTGCTTTGCTTTGGTTGGAGGATCTAATGTGTGCAGGTTAACCCCTCCTTCCCCTCTCTCACATTTCACTTCAGAAGCTTGTCATTCTCTCCCCACCACAGTATTTAAAAAGTGTCTCCTCAGCCCCCCCTGTCCAGCCTTTCACAGGAGTCTCAGGGCCTTGGGAAGTGCATTTGGGCTGGGCTGCTAGCGACTCCTAGCCAGCTGGTGGGTCTGAGCTAGGACAGTGAAAATGTTCATTGACATCCACCCTTCCCAGCAAATACATTTACAATAGAACCAAAATAAACAGGCTGACTCGGTAGAGGGTGGGAAGTTAGGAGCTGAAGTTTTACATAGGTGGAAAGAGACAGAGGTGGAGATACATTTGATTTTTTTTTTGTAGGTAGAGAAGGATTTTGTTTGTTTGGGGGTTGTCTGGGTGGGTGTTCTGTTGTCTTGGGTGGTTTGTATTTTTTTTTTGGTGGGTGGTTTCCTTTTTTTTTTTCAAATCTGAATTTAAAAGGGTCACCACTGAACTCGTGGGTGGACTGAGCACAGCGCCGCAGCCGGAGACGCAGATGGATTCGGCAGCCAACAGCTGTATGAGGGGCCCCCATTCTCCAGCCCCACTGTGGGGCTGTCTGCGGAGCCCCCATTCTGAGGTCAGCGGGCCAATGGCACTGCCCCATTACCCTCCTGCTCCATTCTCCTTCCACCAGAAACCAGACTTCCCGACGTACCCAGACTTCTCTGCCTCGTGCCTGGCTGCTGCACCCCATAGCCTGCCCCGAGAAGAGAGGCTCCTTACTGACCAGCACCCTGCCTTTTCACAATCCCCTGACTGGCATTTCCCTGGCTCTGAGGCCCGGAGAAGACTCACCCCAGGCCCAACCTTGAGTTCTGGGGAGGTGGGTGAAAGCAGCCCCGGCCTCATGGATGCTGTAGGGAGCCTAGGGGAGGACTATGGGGTCCCCGGGACCACTGCCAATGAGACTGAGAAAAAATCAGCGAAAAGGAAAAAGGAGAACTCAGGTAAGTGGCATGGGGGAGATGGGAGGGGCCAGCACTGGGGCGGATGGGCACTTAAAAGCTGTGTGACCTTGGACAAATTGTTCAACCTCTCTGGGCCTAGTTACATAGTCTGCAAAATCGGGATACTCTCCTCCAAGGCAGAGGGCTGGATGGGATGGTCCCTTAAAGCCTTATCTAGTTTGAAGACTTATTATTCCAGGATTCTACACACTATGGGAAAACTGTGCCAAGGAAAGCTGGGAAGAGGAGGAAAGGCAATTTCTAGGGTCTAAATCCTGTCAAATAGTCTCTTGACCCCAGGGAAGAGACAGACAGCCAGGCAGAGGTGAAGCTCAGGGGGAAAAAAAAAAACAGGAGACTCAAATTGATCCTCCAGGTGGTACCACAATGTCTTTGAGTAACCCTGGCCTGCTCAACCCCCACCTGACTCTGAATAGACACCAGATCACAAGGCAGGCGCCACACATAGCCCTTAGAGAAGCAAGGGACACTTGGAACTCAGTGACCATTTGCCTACACCCATATCCCCTTGGGGTGACAGTCCCATTCTTGGTAATTATTTGGATTTGGGGCTTCAGTCAAAACTTTCCATCCAGAATTTTTGACTGTCAACCCAAATAAGACCGTGGAGCAGAGCTGACTGCAAGAGAATGAATGGGGCAACAGGGGGTAGGGGAAAGGTGGGACTCAGACGGGATGAGGGAGAGGAAGTCAAAATCAGCATAAAATGCAATGTCCCTTGGTGATTTAAGGGAGGGTTAATCAAGGTCAGAATTCCATGAACCTGGTGAAAGGGGGAGGGATCCCGGAATCTCAGAGTTAGAGGTGAACCTCTGTGGCCATAACTGTAAAAAAACAACAACCTGTCTTCCACATACCAGATGAGTAGTCATCCAGCCCGTACTTGAAGGCCTCCAGTGAGAATGAACTCAATACCTCCAGCAGTAGCCCATGTCACTTTAGCATGACTAATTTGTTAGGAAGTTTTTCCTTACATCAAGCCTAAAGCAGTTTCTTTGCAATTTGCAAACATTGCTCCTAGCTCTATCCTCTAAGGAGATAAAAGAGGCTGCAGCTAGCATGGGGGCAGGAATGAATGGGTCCTGGGGTACTGGTGGGCAATGCTTCAGAATGGTCTGGCACAGGACAGGGAATGTAGATGAGGTAGAGGTCTTACTCATCTTTCACCTTGGCAGGAACATGGGGAAAGGTAGCACCATTTCATGCCAAGGAGCCCAAAGAGCAAACTCATTTACCACAAAAGTGCAACTGACTGGCCTAGGGGACTGCTCAGGATTGGAATCAAGGTCAGGAAAACCGATTTCACTGTGAAAATGTAGCAATGCTCTAGGGAACCCTCCACCTGGATTGAGAGCAGAAATCCTTCACCCTGAAGGCAGCTGGGCAGAATAACCCTTGGGGCTGACACTGATCACAAAGCTAGTTATTTATATGGTATTGGAGAACTGGAACTACCTGAAAGGAAGAGTGGTTTTAATGATGCCTTAAATTAATCTTTTTGCCGTTGTTCAGTTGTGTCCAATTCTTCGTGACCCCACTTGGGGTTTTCTTGGCAAAGATACTGGGGTGGTTTGCCATTTCCTTCTCTGGCTCATTTTACAGATGAGGAAACTGAGGCAAACAGGGTTAAGTGACTTGCCCAGGGTCACACAGCTAGCAGTATGCTATTTTCTTCTCTAGCTCATTTTACAGATGAGGAAACTGAAGCAAACAGGGTAAGTGACTTGCCCAGGGTCACACAGCTAGTAAGTATCTGACACCAGATTTGAACTCAGGAAGATGATTTCAGGCCCAGCTCTCTATTCACTAAACTACCTAGCTGCCCCCAAAATTAATCATTAGCCATGCTAATATTTTCTATTGTCATGTTGATATTTTAGGACAGTTAAGGTCCTTGCTGTCACTGTTTCCCCAGCAATGTATTCTACAGTTGCAATGGGAAACTGAGTCTTTCCCATCTTCTTTCATTGCTACCTTCTTCCCCCACTCCACCTCACTTTTCCTTCTTTCCTCTAACCCAAGATAGTCCACCAGTCTGACCTCACCTGGCAGACCCCAAATGAATCTGTTTATTCCTGCATTTACCATCCCCCCACCAAAAAATGACCTTGGCAGATTTTACAAGTCACCAAAGAACTGACATCAACTTGCCAGTGATAATTAAAATCAAACTAAATGAGATTATGTATACAAAGCACTTAATAAACCTCCAGTCAAATGAGATTATCTATGTAAATCACTCTGCAAACTTTAAAGTGCTACATAAATGTTAGCCATTTCTTATTATTTCATTCTTCTCATCTTTCTGTTCCCTAGGGCTCAGAAATTGTCCTGGGACAAGTCACTAGCCTGCTATTATTCTTTATGTTTAATGTTCAGCAAATTATTATGTAGATGAATAGAATGATAGAGTTTTTGTGGCATGAAAGTTTTTATCATTTTTATATTATTTGTTATTTTTCATATTACTGCCTCATCCTTATCTATTATTGCCATTATCATTATTCCCTCCCTAGGTTAGTATGTCCCCTCCCCATGCCTCATCAGAGCAGGGCAGAACTGAAGCAAATTTTCACATGGTTATCTATCTATCATTATCTATTAATAGAAGGAATCTATTTCAGCTTAGGAAACTTTGTTGTTATTGGTCCATCGTTCAGTCATGTCTGATTTTTTGTGATCTTGTTTGGGGTTTTCAAGGCAGAAATACTGGAGTGGTTTGCCATTTCCTTCTCCAACTCATTTTATAGATGAGGAAAATGAGGCAAACAGAGTCAAGTGACTTGCCCAAGGTCACACAGCTAGTAAGTATCTGAGGCCAGATTTCAACTCAAGTCTTTCTGACTCCAAGGCCTGTGCTCTATCTACTGAGTCACCTAGCTGCCTAGGAAACTACTTTCATTGACAAAATCAGCAGTTTATCTATAATTTATAGTTTTAGAAAGTTGCTTTGGGCACAGAGGTGCCCACACAGCCATTATGTGCCAAAAGCAATACTTGAACTCTTCCTGGCTCCAAAGTTGGCCCTCTAGGCATGATGCTATGCTGCCTCATCAAGTGGTGACCAGAAAAATTAAAGGCTCCGAAGAAATCATTTCCTTTATTTTAAAAAATGACATGTTTAAGTTCTTTAAAAATCCTTATTATTAAACAATCTCTGGAATTGCAATTAAATGTAATGCCTTTGCACATGCCAACAGATTTTTCCAAGTGTATCCCTGTATGCTAAGCAGAGTTGACCCTTTAAAACCTCGCTGAGGTAATTGATCTGAATAGACTCCTCCTGCCATTTCCCACCTTCACTAGCGCTCTGTGAGTTAAGGTATCGCCGCCCCTTATCTTCATCCAACGACTCTAAGTCAGCGCTAACACTAAATTGGAAGATCTCATTTTGCATTCTCACTATTTGTCCTCCAACTCTCTCATTTTTCTGAAAAGAGATGTTATACGTGCCTTCCAATGGAACAGTGAGTGAAAACAGACTGAGATGGGACAGGGAAAGCCCAATGGTTGATCAGGATTTGACAAATTTGCTCCAATTATTTTTCATTGCCAAAGACGGCCAAGTACTCTTGCTTGGTGCTTGCAAATGGCGAGGGTACTTCATCGAGTTGAGTTGAATGCTCCTCTGTGTTATTCCGTTTTTATTATTATACAAATAACACATGGAGTCATTTTGTTTAGAAAGTCATTGCAATAACAAGGTTTCCATCCACGGAGGTGATGTTGCGAGCAGCCATCAGGAGACCATATGTTCTGAGTTGTTTTTTCTGTAGCAGGGTGGGTTGGTGCCGTTGTGTGGTTCTCCTTGGGAAAAACAGCACATATTTATGAGGTGAGGCTGTCAGTGGCCCTGGTATTTCATTCATTCCCATATTGCCCCAGAATTACTATCCAACCCAACAAGGGAGATGTTGTGATGTTGTCTTACATTTAATAATATAATAGTAATAACATTAATGCTTACTATATGCCAGGCGCTGTAATAACTAATAACCAGCTTTAAGGTTTACAAAGCACTTTACAATTATTATCTCGTTTGACCCTCGCAACAACCCTGGGAGGTAGGTGCTGTTATTTTTCCCATTTTACAGTTGAGGAAACCGAGGCAAACAAAGGGTTAAGTGACTTGCACAGAGTCGACTGAGTCTGGATTTAAACTTAGGTCCAATTCTATCCACTGAGAAACCTTGCTATATGTAATATAGCAGAAAGAACACTGGAATCGCAATCGGAGGACCTGAGTTCAAATCTCACCTCTCCCACTTACTACCTGTATGATCTTTGGCAAATTCCTTAACATCTCTAAATTTCAGCTTTCCTGTTCTATAAATGGAGGTGACTGAAATTGATAACCAAACCTTTCTACGTTAATGCCCCCATGATTACCAGGGAGGCAGTGTGGTATAGTGAAAAGAATATTGGCTCTGGGTTCAAATCCTACATCTGATGCTTACCAGCTATGTGACATTGGGCACGCTGCTTAATTTTTATGAGCCTCAGTTTCCTCAAAAAAGGAGGTTGAGCTGGATGACCTCGAAGATCCCTTCTATTCCAAATGTATGACCCTATGAATTCTAATGTCCCCTTTAATTCAAAATCTATGATCAATATACAGAATTTCCCTAAACTAAGCAGGTGCAGTTCAGCTCCAAACAAACAGAGCTTATCCCAAAGACAACACTTCTACCCCTTCACCCTACCACTGACCCCAAATAACTCAACATGTGGTTATCTCTCATCCCTAGCATCCTGGAATAGTTTAACCAATGGGGTTAGACAAGTCACTGTGTTAGCTGCTATGAATAAGGCATAATCTCTGCCTTTAAGATCCACTGCTCTGTCCTGAAATTCAGGGTGTTAAATCAGCTGGAGTCTTCTAGGCTCTTTCCAGAAGTCTGGTGCAGGGAGAGGAGGTAGGAAAGAAGGGACACCGAAGAAGGCTCCTCATTCATCTTTTACCAGCAAAACCCTTAAGG